GGCTGCAGACCTAATTTGGAGCACGTATCCGATGTCGCCTATTGCGGAGCTTGATAAATAGCAAGAGCTTGAATACGCGATGCTGTACCGTGCTATACCACCCTCCCGGTTGACCGACGCATCCATCAGAGGGTTATGTGCAGGACCCACTATCGATTTCTCGACCTGTAGATATTCTGAATACAAGAAGCAGCTACGAAGTCGGTTCGGGACAAAGATAACGAAGAAGTGGTTACGAAGAAAGTCATGGATCGTGTTGCTGCGCTTTTTAACCAGCTGGATGTGGATACGCTGTTGCTGCTGCTGAATTTCGGCAACGCTCACTGGTGTTGCGTTGTGGTGAAAGTCGGAGCTTAGAGAATCTTCTACTACGATTCTTTGAGCCAAAAGTCCTACATGCGTGCAGCAGAAGGAGTGGCGACGTATCTAAAGTACAATGGACTTAATGACTTCGCTGTGATGCCGCATAACAATCCCATTCAGTTTGACCAGTTTAGCTGTGGTTTTTTCGTCTGCTGGATGTTCCTGCGCCAGGTTGTGCCTGGGCTAGCTCAAGACATGAGCGACGCCGCTCTCGTCAAGCGTCGCTTCGAATTATTCAACTATATATTATCCGGACGTCTAATTGCGCCAACCAGACACGCTTCCACACCTACTCAAACCCCGACCACTAATCAAGACGACGTAGAGAAGGCTCCTGCCCACGTGAAACGAGACCCTGAAAACGATGACAGCCCTCCCACCCAAGTTACAGCAGGTGTATGAGCAGACAGACTTTCAAGAACCACAGTTAGGCTTGGAGCAATGATAACCTTGATGAATACATGACTTTTACTAACTCTTCAGCTTATCTTGTGGTCTTGCGCTCTACATGAACCTTGAACAGATATCGTTGTGAATGTGCCAGCAGTACCATTACTTGCAGCGTACGTGCAACGGACGCCGTGGACTTTGCAGATTTGCCGATGAGTCAGAACAAACCACAGCTTCAAAACGTATATTACTAAAGATACTATCATGATAGACAGGTTTCATAATCCTAATATAATCCTGCACAATAATCCTGCATATTTTAGGATTATAACGTAGTATAATCCTGGATTCCATAGGTCGATTTACGACAAATCGACATCGATATAGTTTACTTTTTGCCTTTTTTAAACGCAAATCGAGTGCAGATACTTTCCTTTATCAGTCTTACGCCTGTTTTTATGCGCCAACCATGCTCGATCTAGGTCATAAAAGCGAGCATGGTTGGCGCACAGTAATTGGCCGATTCCGGACACCAGTCCGGATGGTCGCCATACGGAATGACTGAGTCATGCCGGGTAGAATCCGGCCAATCACGGTCGGATTATTTTTTCCGGATGACAGTGGATAGGCTTAAATAACAATTCAATGAATTGCAAATAGGTGGCTACCTTGCGACAGTCTTCTTCGCTGTTCATTCAGCGATTTTCAAGCGTACCCCTCAAGCCTCCAGCCACAGCTCCAACTCCAGACCACGGTGCGTGCCTTCTCCGACCCCAACGTACCCGTAGCTCAGCGGTAAAGCGGGAGACTACGTCTCCAGGCCGCTGGATCGAATCCAGCCGGGGGCAGATAGTTGTAAGCTGTGCTGCGTGGATTGTGTTTGTGCTGTACTCTGTGGTGTGTTTGCAATAGCTGGTGCTGTGCTGTGTGCTATGGAGCGACGCGTGTGATGCGGTATATGTATGTACATGCTGTGATGTGCATTTGCTCGTGTATTGCTGGATTGGGCGTGCTGTGCTGTGTGTTGTGCGTATGCTGCAGTGTTGTGTTGGGCTGTGCATGTACATGTGCTGCTATGTTGTGTACTGTGTGCTGTAACATGTTGTGTGCATTGTGTTAGGTGTGTGATGCTTTGTAATGTAGGCTGTACTGATTGCTGAACTATCTACTGTGGTGTACTGCCTTATAATGGTGTTGATGCTGGTGAGTGCTGTTTGCTCGTGCTTATGTTTGCTGAACTGTGCTGCCCAACGGCTTGTCAATCCAAGTCAACTGCTGCCCACAGATGCGATGGAGGTGTGCAGGCATCTACGAGGGACCCACTGGATTTCAAGACAAGATACTGTGCTCCAAGCGAGCGATACGCATCAGGATGCGACGTACGCGGCAGGCGCCAGCGCTTGCGAAGGGACGAAGCTTTGCGAGTTGGTTTCTTTTTGTCGAAGGCGTAGAGACGCTGGTTCGCGGCTGTATCCGGCTTGAGTGCCAGCTCCCAGACTACGTGCTTCCAGGCACTGTAAGCTGCGACGTCGGCTCGTGACGGCTCCTCTGGGACTTGATACGGCTTCTGGTACAGTACCATCATTATGTCCACTGCTGCCTTTGCTTCGGCACGCTGGTTTTGCTCCTTCTTACCTTTAACCGTTTGCCATATGTGGTTAGTGTACCAGTTGAGCAGGCATCCAGCAAGGGTGGAGGCTGACGCTGAAGCTGGGACGACAACCTCAACAGCAGTAGGTAGCTGTGGTGACTGCTGTTGCGTCTGAGTACTCCCTAAGGCCTGGCTCTGTATCTGGGCTTGCGAGTCTTCAAGGCGACCAAGTCGCTCGCTAATGCTCACAAGCTGGGCTAACATGTTGTTAAGAGTGGATGATAGCAGCGTGTCGTTACCAGCGACGGCATTGCTAAGCTGCACGTGGTTTGCCGTCTTCCAGTGAGCTCTCAGGTACGCCCCCACTCACAGCATGTTCGTATCGTGATGCAGGAGCCAAGACGAGCGTTGGAAGAGGCGATACCGCGATGCAGCTCGTACATGTAGCGCGACGAGACCGAGGTGCTGGTGGGTTTTTCGATGTGGATGCGAACCTCATCCATGTGCATTAGCAGCGATGCAAACGTGCAATCAACGACGTCCAATGCGACATTAAATCGAGCGTCCTGGAAACCAAGTACGTGGCGGTACAGCTCGTCTCGAAGGGTCACAAGCTGACCAAACTCCAGTCCCGTCAAACGCTGCTGTAGGTCACGAATTGTCGGCGTTACCACAGGTAGATCTGAAGCTTGGTACCCTGCTAACACTTTGGCTACGCTCTGATCCTCCTTTGTTGTCGTTCCAATGTAGGCAAACGCCTTGGTTAGTGACTCCAACAGCCAAGCCCCGCGAGTAGAAATCCACTAAATCGACAGCTTCGGCGACGCATTGGCGTACGCAGCGGCTCCACGGCGAATGGAGTGGCTGGTCATATTTGGTGTCACCGTTTGGCTGAGATCAGGAGGCATCGACTTCAACGAATCTCTAATGACCTCGGTAATATAACTTGCGATATTTGGTCTCTCTCTCTCTCTCGCTTTTGGGGCGGCTCCGACGTGCTGTTATCGTCTTCTAATAGTTGACCCCAGTACAAAACAGCTTCCTCTTGTGAATACGGTTTATTACCAGGAAGGTCGGACTCTGTGAAATTAGGTGCCAACGGAAACAAATATTCGGAGGGCTCGTCGTAGCAGATAAACAGCAACCCGAATGCGTGAAGCATACACTGCTGCCATCTCTCCGGGGACTTATATATTGAGACGCCTTGAACCATAGAGGTTTTGATCTGGGCAATGTGTAGGAAAAGCTCTCCAGAAGCTGAAATCGAGAGTTGTTGTTTATGTGCAAAGCAGGTATCGACAGCTCTTCCAAATGTATGCCACATCATAGTCAACAGAGCTGCATCATGTACAGACTTCAAACCGGTAGCCACGTCAGCTTTCGCAATTAGATACCCAACGAGTACACTTAGATCATCCACGTTACACCCAGGAGCGTCATTGGTTTGCACATTTGCGCGCAAATTCCTCTCTTCTATGTAACTAGCCATTTTGTCCCGAATCTTGGCAATTCTCTTAGGGTCACCAAGAGAGTTGGTGTAGCGCTCGCGAAGCATGTTCACAACTTGTGAAAAATACCCTAGCGCTGTCGATTTTGCTAGTAGTCCATCCGCCGCTCTCGCCTTGTTGCTTTTCTTCGTCTGTATGTAAATCGAAAAAGCTGTTAGCAATGAGTACATGTTCTGGGTCGGGAGACTAGCTAATTCTCTATGAGCTTTATGTATGCCATCTAAATCGACTTTCGCTAATCCTATTGAAGTGAGGAACTCCTCAAACATCTTCTCCGCCGCAATCTCTTGTCCTATTGTGCCAGCAAGAGTGTCCAGACCTCGCGAAGCTCTCCTCATTGCCTCTCGCAGTGTGAATCTCGCGCGTAATGCAAGCTGGTCGGTTGCATGGCGCCTCATCGTGAAGTTTTAGTCTATATTTACTCTTCAACCGCACGATTTTTTTCTCTGGTACAGACGCCTTTTACGCGATAATACATGATGTGACTTGATTTTACTAAGGCGTCTTATCTCGAAATTTCGAGAAAGCCGGACAATTCCGGAAATAAGCTGGAATAAACTACCCCTACCCCTAAATAGCGGTTATTGGGTGGTTTGAGCAAATAAAAGTTCATGCTGTCCAGCGATTGGCTGTGGATTTTTTTAGCTTACAGTAGGGGTGGGGTCTCCGTCAGGAATATACTTATCCTACAATAATATGTATTCTAAAAAAGGTCGACGGCGTTTTTCTGCTGAAAATGTAATCTGTATTTTTCTATCAGATTAAATTTATATAATTGTGCTTTGCAGATGATCCGTTTTATAGCCTAGATCGAGCATGGTCGGAGCATAAAATTACGCATAAAAATAAAGTAGGAAGATCAATTTGTTTTATCTGTGATCGATTTACCATTTCTAAACGGCAAAAAGGGTCGATTTACAGAATATCAATGTGAATTTGGTGGTTGATCGATCCCGAGCGGTCGGTTTAGCTGCCGTAGCTCGATTTATCAGCCACTCTAGCAATATCGATTTGTACTTTTTAAAGACCTCGATTAAATAAAACGACCTCTTTTTATTAAAAATCGAGCATCAGGCTCTGGATGACATTTACAGAATAATAGGACCTGATACAGTACCCACAATAATAGCAGAAACCAAGCCTTCTGATCATGCGTCTGCATAGTTGCTTCGTGTCCATTCCCTACGTTCACCCATTAGCCCCATGACCTGCAATCTCATGTTTTCACCGCCACATATTACCGCGTGCTGAGTCGGATGAGCAGCCACAGCAGTAACGATGCTGTCCATCGGGATTCGGAACCGATCGAGTCGCTCGACTGCTGGAAGTCCAGGATTATCAAGCTTTGCTGCGTCCACTTCGTCAGCTTCACTTGTCTTGATGAAGACAGGGGCCTCTGTACGTCGTAATTGCTGCAGATCGATCACATTCAAACTCGTAACGTCATGGATCCCCGTGCACATGATCGACTTGTCGAACAGGAACGTGCCCACACAACGGTGGCAAGAAAGCCACGAGTTTCGGAGTGATCGCGGCAGGAAATCCCGCTGGTACTCAGTTTCTGAGGTCGTCGATAGCACAGACGGAGACGGATGTGGCGTCGCTTTTTCTCTAGGCATTAACCCTGTTCCACATAGAGATGAGTGAGTGCACCAAACACGACAACGCGTTCATTCATTGTACATACCGCGCTTGAACGTGTGTAGCTTCACAACAGAGCCACAGAGGTAATCGATGGCCACTACCCAATCGTTACGTAACTGGCACAGCACTTGAGTCTCCGATTGAGGCATCAAGCGCATCGACATGATACCGGGGCATCCGTATCGACTCGAGAGAATCACCGACTCTATCAAAGCAGGTGATAGGTATGCTGTTCGGGATACATGAAGGTTAGTTTGTCCTTTATAGATAAAAGCAGCAAGAGATAGACCTTCACTCACATTTGATCACGTCCATAAGTTTGAACTGTGCCTTCCGCTGTGGTACAGGCTTGGAGCCAAACGCTGGAACGACTTTGTGTTGAATATCATAGGTCTATAAGAAAGAATTAACGTAAGTTAAAGATGCCAGGATATTTACAAAGAAGCACAGGTACCATAAGCACTCCAGCCTCATTTCCGCAGATGAGAAACTGCTTGTTGGGAGACAGTAGCAACGCGTTAATCGGTAGAGATCCTGCAAGGAAGCTCCACACTGGTCGCAATGGGAAGCGTGTGTCCCACATACGAATAGCTCCATCCATATCGCCAGCAATGATGTTGATCGCTTTCGATGCCGACTTTGTCTTGAGTTGCCGGGAGTTCGCCGTAGTCGACTCTGTAGCAGGGAGATACACCAGGTCATTGTACCCACTGGAAGGCTGGTTGGAACTCTTCAACACTTTGTGCGGTTTACTCGGGAATTTACGTAAGTCGAAGAGATAAATTTCATTGCGATTCGAAAACGAGCACGCGATCTCATCCTGTAAAAAAAATTAATAGCGAGATAGTTAGCACTAATTCGAGCTTGATCATTGTATAGTATACTCTCACCTCATTTAACGGGTTCCAGTGAATGCACTTGACTTCGTATGGTGTAAATATCGTGTGGATCTGCACGCTGTCGTGAATAAATAAATTTAGCAATAAAAAAAAAAATGGTAGCGTACTGGATGCAGAGTATCGGGTTCCCTCGACTGCTGTTCGTCTCCATCTTCCTTCTCCTTGTTATGTTCGTTGTGCATCTTCTGTCCGAGGTTTAAACTGCGGTAAAACACGTCGTCGAAGTCGTAGAGCGCGATGATCCCATTGGATGAGCCCGCAGCTAGCAGGACTCCTTGAGCGTCAAACGCGAGACAGCTAGTGTAGAAGGCTCCAGAGCTCATTGCGCCTGCCTGTCGTTCCCAATGCGGATCCAACTGAAGCTCAACTGGCAGCCGCTGGAAATGCGTGAGCGCCCAGCGCACAAGCTGCTGCTTACGTCTCCGTCGCGGTCTTTGCCCTCCACTGACAAAGTGGCGAGTCGAGACGCAGCCCACGAGCTCACGACGCTGTAGTATCCCCGTCAAGTCCTCGCGGGTCTCTCTACGCGCTGTCGCATTGAGCTTTACGGTTGTTGCCTCGGGCTCGTCTTCGTTTTCGCTTGGGTCTTCAGCGTCGTTGAGCTGCTGGACGCTAGACGTGAAGATGGAGGTGTTGACGTCGTCACTGTCGCTGACGCTGTTGACGGACTCGATACTGATACGGCGCGCCTGCTTGCGCTGGAAGAAAGCGGTGATTGACGCCTGCCCACGCTTCATGAGCTTTTGAACTGATAGAGTGTTGCCGCCAATTTTTGAAGCTTTTATATTTATTGAAATATTAATAAAAGCTACTTCATTTTTCGCAGTTTAGAGTTAGCAAAAGCTTATGTAAAATTGAGCATTTCAATGATGTTGTCCTTTTCACTTAGTTCCGTTTGGTAAGATCACTTTCCGCAAGGTATAATTTTTCAAGATCGCTGTACGGACTTTGTATATACCGGTAAAATTCAAAGAATTGGCTCTATTTGATTGGAGATGGCTTGTGATTGCTTGAAGTAGTTGGATATTGATCAGAACTTTTCACAGAGAAGACGGAGCCTGCATTCTGCAACAAAATGTCTGACAAGAGAGCGAAAGGAGAAGCTGCCGCGCTTACTGACGAGAGGCGCTTATATGAAGAAGCGAAACATCAGTTTAAAGAAGCAGCAAGAGAGCTGGCAAAAGCAAAAAAAAAACTTTGTGATTGGGAGGACAAGCATGGCGACGAAAATGACAAATATCGTAGTTTGAACCAAGGTGTGAAGGAAGCGAAAGAATGGTTTAAGGATACGAATCAATTGCTGAACGATACGAATCAATTGCTGAACGATGCAGAGCGACGATGGCAAAATGCTCGTCTTCAGCAGCTGCAACTGCAACGATCCATCCTCAAGCCTCCGTCAGCCACACCCTTCTCTCGGCTGATTCCAGACGTCGCGCTGAAAAAGTGCGAAGGAGACCGCAAACGCAAGACAGATGATACACGTTCTGGATCTAAAAAGCCTCGCTGTGATCATGACAGTGGATTCACTAGCGCAGATAAGTTGATGAGGACGATTCGCGACTGCAACGTGGATAATATCTTTGACATGGAGTCGATTGTGGATTTGCCGTATCCGTCGTTATTATCCCCACCGAATCGTTTTGAGGCCAATGAGTTTGTTTTCAAGTATCAAGTCCGGTCGGAGCTGAAGCTGTTGTATGATAAAATTGTGCGCTTGTGGACGGAAGGCCGCGTTCTTAATACGGTGAATGTCGCGGGTACAATTGGGTATGGCAAGTCGCACATGTTGGCCGTGTTGGTGCTTTTGCTGCTGAAGGATGCGATCAAATATAAGTCCGACGACGAATGTGCCCCGTTTGTGTGCTACATTCCCGATTGTAGGGGATTATTGGCTGGCGAAGCTAATATTGTGTCGATTCTGGAACAAAATATACTGCTGAATATACCAGGGTTTAGTGGGAAACTCAGAACGATCAAAGACATTAGCGAAGTCATGAAGGATCAACAGGTGATTCTTGTGGCCGATCAATGGACCTCGATTGACAATGCAGATGACGATTGTCGAACGGCAAGAAAGCTGTTGGGGTCCTGTTTCGGCACCTCGGTGCGTGTCACTGTCCGCGGCATGTCGATGAACCCACCTACGTGGCGTGCACTACTGCACAAACAAACTAGTGATGACAACAACTTCTATAACGGAGGGTTTAATGACGACGAGTTTCAAGTTTGGCTAAAGAAACATCCGGCCATTTTCACGGAGCATAAGAAAGAACTGGCACTTTTGACGGGCAAAGTTCCGCTGTTGCTGAATGTCTTTGCGCGCGTGCATAACGACGGTCATTCTTGGGAAAGTATTGTACACCGTGTCCAGCTAGACGAGTTAGTGAGCGATTGGATGGCGTCGCTCCAGAAATTTTATGCCGACATTGCCGCGGATCGGGTGTGGAAGGTATATACGCTATCGGTCAATCCGGTGCTGGACTCGGCCATTGTGGATTTTCGCTTCTTCTTTAAACATCGCACGCATGGGTTCTGTGCCACGAGCGAAATCGTAATGCGATTGCTCTATCGTTTATGGACGACGAAATCGGCGGAAGATGCTTTACTGGCGCGATGGACTGACCTTCGATTGCGTGCGTCAAATTCATCGGTTCGTGGCTTTTATGTTAAAGAAATCATCAAGGCCAACATCTGCAAGGAAGGGGTAGTTGGAAAGTATTATCTACCCAACGACTGGATCATCAAGAGACAGTTTTTCAAACCCTTGGCCGAAAGCAAAATTCTGAAATTGGCGATTGCGGAAAAAGCGAACAAGTCGTGGTGGATTTTCTTGGACCCAGAAACTTTCAATTATCCCGGCGTCGATATGATTCTGGTCACCGATTCGACGATTGTTGGGATCAATGTGACTATTGCCAGGACGCATTCCCCGCTAGCTCCATTTTTCACCGTGTGGGGGCCACTTGCTGAATCACACAATATGCTTATCAAAGGTATATTTGTGGCCCTAGACAACTTTGATCATGTGGAGGACAATGTTGAGATAGTTTCCATCAGAGACGTCTACCACGAACTGTGGAAAGAGATCGAGGGGAACACGCGTCGAGTACCTATTGCGGATTTTAGCTGCACGTGTCAAAAAGGTTGTGGTTCGATGAAGTGCGGTTGTCGAAGCCGTGGGAAATCTTGTAATCGTGCTTGCAGGTGTCAGTCGTATGCATGTAAGAACGTGTCGACGTTAAAGGCAACAAAACAGCCCAATCGCGACACGAAGGAAGCCTTTAGTTAAATCGAAGCCACTACATTTGCTCGGAAAATGATTGCCGTTGCGGCAGTGTCTTTTTCATCCTCACCCTCCGCTTAAAACGTGGAAGTAGTCAAAATCTTCCGTTCGGCATAAGCATTTATTTCTTAGAAAATATTGACAACGTAGTATGTACTGTAGCTAGTCATTTTTTAAGCCGCAACGGTTGAAGCTCTGCTATTTAGAGCAACAGCGCTGTACAGTAAAGCAGAGTGAAGGTAGCTGATGGAGCTAATGCGTATTATACATGTACCATCACGAAAGAACCCACTGAAGCGTTGAATAACGGATTCCTCCTACACAAGTCTCAGAAACTACATGTAGAAATCTTATTGTAGCTGTGAGTGTTCTGTCCAATGAGGTGGAGCTCCAGGAGGCCACTCGGTGGAGCCAGTACGGTGTTCCTGTTCGCGTTGTCGTCTACCTCGCACGTCTCCCACCTCTGCAAGTGCACCATGAGCAGCTCAGCACTGCTGCTAGATTTATGGTGAGGTGTTGGTGCTGACATCGGACCACAAACTCGATCGCCGCAATCACGAGTGCTTTCTATCTGTGCTATCGCGGCGTACTTGCGATTTCCAGTGTCAGTGGCTTCATTTTCCTCTGTACTATCTCAAGCCGTAGTTGAGGATCACTGTGACGAAGCTGTAGCTTACAGCTACTAGCTACAGTGCAAGCAATGGTGCTAGCACAGCCGATGATATGAGCAGTTCCGAGCTCTCGTGTGGGGACTGCTTGGGTGTCAACTTGAAATATCCGATCTCACGGATTCAGATTATCCGATAATAACAAATCTTTGTCATGTCATGATTCATAATACAAGCTTTGCTGCAATATGCAAGCATGACTTTGCAAAAACGTACAGATGAGCCCGTCAGTAGTAATCCCAGCTCTTGGAATACCCTTCTACAGGAATACAAAAGTATAAATATGATAATTCCCAGGGGTAATATAATAGGGAGGGAGTTTAGTTTTTTGGCCTACTCAAAATATTAGGGGTTATAGAAGAGGCACAGTTATTAAGGTTTAACAGTATTTAGATGTGATGTTATGATTGAAATTTTGTGTAGAGCAGATCGACAGTCGCTGCAGAAAATTCTGGCTGTGGTGCGCAAGATCTACCACTGGCAGTGCCAGTCACAGGAGAACGCTGCGTTCCGTCATATTCTTAAGGATGACGCGCTGATCTGAGATGACGCATGGCGCGTCACCGGGCTCTCCGACCTTCTATCACTACGTAAAGTAGGTGCCATAAGCACAGACTTGTAGGGCAGTAGGTGTAGAGCAAGTAGGAATAGAATGTAAGACACGTGAGTGCCGGGCAAAGTACCACGACAGGACCACGGAGATCTGGTGCTTGCTGCCTCTCACTCGTTGTGCACGCAGCACAGCAAAAGCAGTTGTGAGAGTGAGAGCTGCCAGCACCTGAAACTCCTTGTTCCGCAAAGTTAGATTAGCACATACTCAGTCTAAGATAGTCTATAGAAAGCTAAGTAGCTCACCATCACCTGCAACGCAGTTGCAGTTGCTCACCGCCACCAATGTCGTCCTTCATACAGTCCTTGGTATCTTCCGCACGCCGCTCGCACGTGAGCGCGTTGCAGACCGGTACGCCGGGATGCAGTACATGCATAGACACGCGTAGGATTGTAGGTTGGATCGGTAGTACTGGTATTCCCAGTGTCTTGGGCTGTGGCAATGACGTCTGGCACTGGACACTGGCAGACCGTAGCAAGTAGTATCTCACAGTAGCAGGATAGCATCTCACACTCCCACTTGATCTCGGCGATGCAGTGCCGAATCGACGCGATCACATCGCTTCATCCGTACACACACCACTGAGAATAGTCGTACGATAGCTACCACCACCGTAATTTGCTAGCTGCATAGTCCCCCACTCGAATCGCACATGTCCGTAGTCCAGCGCAGTTGATTGCATGCTAGTGTTGTGGTACAGCCACACGAAACTGGTTCTTCCAGTCGGCACACAGTCACACTACATGTCATCGTCGTCAGTAATGTCTAGTCCGTCGTTCTTGACCGCATCGCAGGTGACGCAGTCAAGGTATCATGCATCGCAGTTGACGCAGATGTAGCCTTTTCATTTACAGTGGCGGCCATGTCACTGTCTGCCACGATAGGCAGTACCTTCAGCATCTTTCGGAATCGGGAGAACTTGACCACCGCAAGTGGTTTGGTCATGATGTCCGCCACCATGTCCTCCGTCCCGATGTGTTGCGTAATGATCCGTTTTAGTTCCACGTTCCGCCGCACCATGTGGTATTTGTTGTCAATGTGTTTTTGCTTGCTGTGCTTGCCGGGTTTGGTCGTTAGAGAGATGGCTCCCTGATTATCTCCGAGTAGTACAGGTAGTGCATGTTTCCACACTAGTTCTCGGCAGAGCCCTGCAAGCCACAGCAAGTCCTTTGT